AGGTTTGCCATAGCTTTCCTCCCAAGGAGTAAGCGTCTCTTAATTTCATGGCTGCAGTCTCCGTCTGCATTACTGTGAGGCAAACAGAAGTTTGCCCAGCACCCTTTAAAATTTTCTTTGCAAACCTATTCAGAGGACTCTTGCAATTTGGAATCAACTTAGTTCTCCAGATTGGGTCAGCAGTGGTGTAGATCATCAAGGAAGTTTCCAGCTTATTTCCAAGCCCAGTTTAAATTCAGGGTCCTTTATCTATCTGTTTTAAGACCTGACGTGTTTAGCAGGACCTCAATGACTTGCTTACAACTGTGATCTGAGATAAAATGAATAAAGGCCAGAGAGAGGGAAGCAACAGGTACCATTTCTGGAACAACAACACCATGCAATTTTTCTGCGGTGGGAAAGACGTGTTTGTTCTCCCTCACTTTTACAGCATTTTAATGCATTTTGAAGATGTGTTGCTTGTATTTCATTTTGCTTTCACTAGCTGTTTGAGAAGCTGTGCTGCATTTTCAGTAATAATAATAGCAACCACTTGAAGACCATCGGCATTGACAAGATCACCATCAGTCCATTGCAAAAGGCAGCTTTACTTAGAACAGATTCCATCCTCCGACGACACCTTTAACACCATCAAACAACAACACCTGCCTATCCCAGGTCCTTGGGAAGGACTCGATAGGGGGACAAAAATGCCAAATGCAGCCTCAACATCTGGCTGACTGTGCGACCGACAATAACAAGAATATGCTCTACCAACATCATTGATTTTGTTTGATTTCAAAGGATTAAGCCCAGATCCACACTTTAGCTTTATTGTTAACAGCACAATGTAATTTGGAATAACCACTTATCTTACCTTAGCATTCAAGGCATTGCCACATTGCACTTTCAAGAATTAAAATGGATGCAAAAATGCATGTTCTGGATACGTGCCTCTGGGTAATATTTCTTTGAAGTGAGAAGCAGAGAGTCGCTGGTGGGATGTAAGCTGATAATTATTTATCTGGTCACCTTTTTAATGCAGTAGGGGGAATTAATGGAGGTAGTTATCTGAACTTAAATACTATGTCAGAATGTTTCCAAATTTCCTCGTGCTATTTAGGGCTAAATATAAATTATCCTGATCATAGTGGAAAAAAATATCTTTTTAAAAGTATTCCATGAGGGAAAGAAGAGCGCTCTGGAAATTAGTGCACAGCTACAGTAATGGATGAAACTGGATTTGCTGGCATGTGAAGAGAATTCTTCCTTTCTCCGAACACCTTGAAAGCCCAAGCTTTGATATTTTCAAATGTTAAATAAGGAAATAGATTTATCGGGAATTGTAGGCAGCTGAATTAACAAAGCCAATGGAGACCAGAGTCGTGATGTGTGCGTACGCTTAATTATTGGAAAGAAGTTCAACGCTTGAGCTGGCTTCAGCAAAAGTTTGGAAGATGCAGAACTTAAATGGATTGCTTCTACGCTAACGTGGGTGGGAATGAATTCATAGGTGCCGGTGGGTCTCTTTGGGATTAAAGAGTCCCAAATGGATAAATGAGCAGTGGGTTTCAGATAAACCAGAAAGGGTTCCTTGATGGCCCCTGTGTTCTTTCACTGTTCTCTGCAGCCTGAATAAATGGCCTCTCAGCTCCACGTGAGGTGAATGAACGTCTAGAACCTGAACCAAAAAAAGGCATGTTAAGCTATAGCCACATAGTGACCATTTGCAAAATGTTGCGTTATACTCTTAAGAAGTAGCAAAACCCAAGGCGATGTTTGCTTTCTTGCATCAAAATGTGGAAATTAATTAAACAAGTGCCTCAATAAATCCAGCGTGCTCCATAATACATCAGAGCAAACTCATTTTCCAAAACCAGATTATTAACAGCACCAGTAAGGTCCCTTTGCAAATTTTATTTCTGCCTCAGCTAGAATGTCTTTCATGATTTGATGGAAATAAGTATAAATATTATGTGGGGTTTGGGCACATGCAATCCTCTTCCATAACATTTTTGCACCCTTTGGCCTGAGTGTCTCTGTTTTGGAAGGGAGGGAGGGAGAATTTCAACTTTTCAAATATGTTTTTTTTTTAAGGCTTTGCTACCAGATATTAACCCTGCACTTTTAAACTTTCCCTTTACTCACAAGAAATCAGAACTCATTTCAACTATTCATTTTCAGATCTCCTGCAGATTATCACATCGAGAGGGGGTCTAGTCCTGTGAAACAGGAAATGTCAGTTTGTTCAGAATGCTTGTTGCCAAGACTGTTTGTTCTGGCTTGTCCCAAATTGTACGGAGAGGTTGACTTTTATTCCGCACAAATGAGATCTGGTCAAATAGAACTTGGCTTTAGATCTTGCTGCCGAATAAGGCAACACTGAGATCAGGTGCACAGCCACCTCTGGATGGATGAATTAGGAAAATGAAAATATCAAGAACAATTCTCAGGAGCCCATATTCTCTTTTTTAGCCATTTCAGTCTAAGGACAACATGGCCAACTTGAACAAACTGCACATATAATCATCATATATTCACCTTCTGGAGATTATAATTAATTATATAATTATAAGATATTCTGTTGTTATCTCTTAGTTCTCCAGGCAAAGCCTCCTCCAGACAAAGTTCCTGGAGACTTCAGCAATGCATTCATGTGATTTTCATCACAACCAGATAGAGGTTGTTCATCATTACCTTCGGCAATACATTTTAGACTTCCTCATCTTGCATACTAGGCCTGGAATTTCCTTGTAGGCTCCCATCCATGTATAACCAAACCTGGATTGCTTAGCTTTTCTGAGACCTGCAAGAGACCACAAACTGGGTCTCCAGGATCAATTTATGGGATGGGATGGGTTAGGAAGAAACCCATACAAATTGCATTCAAAATGTATAAGATGGACAGACGGATGGGTGGACGTCTGTCCAACTGTCCATCTGCCCGCCCGCCTGTCCGTCAGTCTGTCCATCCGTGTGTCCGTCCATCCATAAGACAGACAGATGGATGGACAGGCGGACAGATGAACAGACGGTCGGACAGACAGATGGACAGAGGAATGGACAGACAGAGAGATGGACAAATGGATGGATGTATAGTTGGATGGATGGATGGATGGATGGACAGTCAGCCATGAGCCATCCCATGATGCCTGTGGGCCTATCCCAGAGCCCAGTGTGTCCAGCCGCCCTGTGGTGGATGGTAGAACAAGAGAATCCTATGGTAATCAAGGCATGTTCAGACCGTGACAAGGGGTCACTAGCCCAAATTAATGAACAGTGTCCCACATCCAGTAACCCATGTTGCAGCACCCCTGAAAGCCAGCTTGGGAAACTAATTTCCATTAAAGTGTTACATTCATGACTTATGGTTGCCTTTGCAACATATTTCCCTCTGCAGTTTGTTGGCACTCATGCGCTACTTTTCATGATGCCTCTTCTGCCAAACAATAGCTGGGAAAGGCAACGCCCTCCATTTGCACTTGGCGTTAGAAGTCTGCTTCATGCAATTTGCAAAAGATAAGACACTCTGTCTGAGAACCAGTGGAAGCCCACCCTGAAAAGAATGAGCTGCCAATCCTGCCTTCATTTTACCCCTGGTTAAATTTCACATAGCTTGGCGTTTCCACCTACTTCCCTCTTCCCAGCTCTAACTGCACATCGGTTTTCAAGTTCGGTATAAATTAGCTTTGCTTTACTTGACTTTCTTCAGCTCAATGAATTTTAGATGAGATTATAAAATTCAGACATCTTAAAGTATATAACATTTTCACCCCGAGGGCTACCCCTCTCCTTTAAAAGGTGAACAGGGGAGCAAGTAGGGCAGATTCTGGGAACTGGAAGGAGGTAGGATAAGTTTTAATCTGCATTTTTGCAAAGCACTAATTTATACAGATCTTCAGTAGATCTTCTGGAGAGAATGCCACCTTTTGCTCATTTCCCAGGGTCTTCTAACTGTTTTGTTGTCTTTGGCATAAGGTCTTTCTTAGCATAATTTGCTTCACATTCATATCCTTGATAAGCAGAGATATGTCATACTCAAAATCATTCTGACTGAATGCTGGGTTTTATCAAGGTTTTATCATGC